AAAGTTGCAATGAGGCAGGTAATGTGGTGGGGCCGTTTGGCTTTAGCAGTCTGTTGGGTTTAGATGCCTATTGTTTAAAAAAAGTGCCATGGAATCTATACTGATCAAATAGTCAGAACCTTTGTTTAAACCTCCTGCATCACATTGGTGTCACCATGCTGTGGCATTGGTTTGGAAATTCTGGTCCAGAGGTAAGTGCGCCATCTGCTGGTCTAGCAAAAAAAAAACTACTGATACAGCAGCAATGTGCTCAATGTGACCTGGGGTCAGCCTTCCTTCGTTGCTAATCTTATGCTGCAGCCGATGTAGCCGCCATTGTTAACACGTTACCCATTCAAGGTCTCTTGCAATTGTTCCTAGTATTTTAAATGACCTAACTTTGGTGGTACTAAATATAGTTACTCTACCTACGAAGTGTGTTTTTCATCAATTCGATAGATTATCGAAGCTATTAGACATTATCATCCTGGTAGCCAGTGGTCGCTGTTGCAGTTCACCACAAGCTCAAACCAAAAAGAAGCTCTTGTGTTTCCTTCCCCGTACACCGGTACCCAGGGTTATGATCAAAGTCGATTGGTGAGTGACGAAGAGCCGCGCACAGGGATTGGACAGCATCGAATGTCAATCTTCGTCACTTTCTGACTTCGCTGTAGGAACTTAAACGGGGACAAATTTGCAGGTGAGTGAAATGTATAGATAATACAAAAATAGATTACGTTTATTCCAGTTGATACTTTGTACAGGTTCAAGAAAACACTATAATGTGTGTATTCTGTGCTTAGAATTGTGTATTTATTTTATTGGTATTATTAGTAGTACATTAATGGATTAAGCTAATTTACAATTTTAGCATATCTTAGAAAACTAATACTGAAGCGCATTTGCCCTTTTCCTTAAAACGATGGAATGAATCAGTGAATGGCTGCAAAAAATACATCTTGGCATGAGTGGCCGTTTCCCTTATTTGTACAAAAATAATACTTGCAGTCCTTGCTCCCTTCTAACTCTACTTTGCTAAATGCCAGGCATTAAATCGATATTGGCTAGTTCCTGGAGTACAGAACGCGTTAGGCTTTCGTAAAATTAATTATATGTGAAAGTCTTAGTTGCATCTCTCTTGCAGCTCCTCTGCATACTTTTGCAAAATGTTTCTCAGCAGTCGCAGTTTCGCTTTCGTCTTTCGTTAAAGTGGTGCATGCTGGAGGGCAGGCACAAAAACAGTTGGTGTGTTTTTATTGTATGATTGTTAATGATCTAACATTTTTCAAAGTAGAACTAACTCTTTGTTAGTTCTGCTAACAATCAACATTTGTACGGAAGCCAGTCCCAACTAAAAATATCTACTGTATATAAAAAGGTTTAACAAGGTCAGTTTAATTAAAACAAGCAATCCTGATATTTTACTCTGTATTACTCTTTACCAGTAATAAAACAGTGGGCTTAGTGTGGTGTGTACTGGAGAGTCTGGCTTGCCTAGGACAGGACCAGCACATGTGAATTAGTAAGACAGTGGTCTGTTTGTAGTTGTCAAAGGTTAGACGATTGTGCTAACTCATTTAATGCTATGTAAAAATGTAAATTGTCTGAACACATGACCTGCAAAAAAGCTAAACAAATGAGAAAAACAAAATATATTTTTGTAAGTATTATCTTAAGGGATAGTGACTGGGGGCGTGATGCTAAAGTTTTTCATACCTCTCCTAACACTAAATTAAAAAATTAAATTAAATTAAAGACTAGAATTAAAA